AAAGTGCTCTGAGTGCGCATCAATTTTGCCAATACAAAAGCTTTAAGTGGCTGCCAACATTTAGGAAAAAAAACCAAAATAACTTTATTCAGAATATAACTTGTTATGTTCATGGCACGCAAAAAACTCAGCAATAAATAATTAAAAAAATAAGCAATAAATAGTAAGAAAATCAACATGTTGAATCAGCTACTGCTTATATTATGGCTTTATGGTCTTTACTGTAATTAGCCAATTCGCTTATGTTCAATTGCTTTTTTTATGACCATAATAAGATTTCTACAATAAGCCATTATCTAAGCTTTAAGTTAACTTTTAATTAATAAATAGTAATAAATAGTAATAAGGTTCTGTATGTATAAAACAATGTAGTACAAAAGAAAGACAAAGAGCCAGTAATGTACAAAAGAACTTTAATTTAAATTAGCATTAAAAATTCATATAAACAATTACAATTAACAAACGTTTCGACTCCAATCGAGTCATTTTCAATGTAGTCTTAATATATCAACATCGTTCTAAACTAAAAAATATGTACATATGGTATTACAATATTACTTATAATTTTTAATATCGTATTTTTCATTCTGTGTAGTACGCTGCGAGTCATTTTTATCAAGAATTAAAGTAGTCGTAAGAAAATTCTTGTCAGTGATATCAGTAAATATGTTAAAAGTCCATTAATAAAAAGAGAGAAAAAAACGCAGATAGATGGTAGTCCATTTCGCAGTACAATATATTAGTTTTTTTATTATATAAATTATTTTAAGCAAATTTTCAAAAGTAACGAACATCTAACTTTCACGATGTCAGATAACAAAATGAAATTAAGTGAATTTAAGTTTTAAGCCATAAAAAGTTAATCAATCATAGACATATAAACAGCTACATATAAACAGCTTGATTTATGCCAAAGTTATAATATAGAAAAGTTATAATTTCGCCTATACTAGTGAATATAGTCTTACAAGACTTAGAACAAGAAATTTTCACTACTAATAATATCATCTCTCTGTTTTATTTGCAATATGTCGATGACATTGTGTTAGCTGTACATGAGGAAAAGGTTGAGGAGGTTCTGGATTTATTTAATTCATACCACGACAGACTTAGATTTACGGTTGATTTTGGCGATGAAAACGGTATCAATTTTTTGGACGTTAAAATAATGATTCAAGAAGGAAGCATCATCTTTGATATGTATAAAAAACCGACTAATTCGGGGAGATATTTAAATTATTTTTCGAATCATCCATTAGCACATAAAAAGGGAGTAATCATTGGGCAGCTTGACAGAATTTTAATGTTGTCCCATCCCAAATTTCATGAAAAGAACATTTCGGATTTAATTCACACTCTTCTCAATAATGGCTATCCTCTCAAATTCTTATTCTCGACGATTAACAATAGAATAAAAACTTTGGAAAATAGAACTAATCCAGAAAAAAATCGTGAAGTAAATAATAATGATTATGATGCCAACAAGAAAAATATTTTTTACGATACCATACTTAAGTAAGGTTTCTGAAAAATTCAAAAAACTGGCATATAGGTTTAATATAGCTTATAAACCGATGAATAAATTAAATACATTAAAACAGGAAAAGATCCCTTGCTTAAGGATGACCATTGTGGGGTAGTTTATAAAATTAATTGTTTGAATTGCGAATCGT